GCCTGGAGAGGAGGGGGGTTGCGGGTGGGAGGGAAGGTGTCCAACTGCAAACACCCACACAGAGCGGCCAGGCTTGCCGGGCGGGCGTGGAGATGTTTAGGGGACGGCAGGCTGCAGGGAAGGGACTGGCAGCTGCACGTGGAAGCAGCGTGGGCAGGGCGCCCACCCATCTGCCTGCGCCCAGCCAGGGAAGCGTGGTGGGACCAGAGCGGAGGGTCTGGAGGCTGGATTCACAGGGGTTGCTGGGCTTGGGGATCACGGTTCAACAGCAAGAGGACTTCCAGCCAGACACCAGGAAGGACTTCCTGGGTTGGGAGACGGAGAAATCCCTCTCTCCATTCCCTGGGCTGGAGTTAGATGCACAGCCCCCCATCGTAGGGAGAAGGGATTGAACATATATGTCCCCCCAATCCCCAGGGAGCTGGGGTGGTGGATGGGCAGACCAAAGGTCGAGGCCTGGGCGGGAAGGCAACTGCACACTCACACACACACACTGCGCCAGGCAGCTGGGAGGCGGAAAACTTCTGTAATGGGGAGCGTGAGTCAGCCGGCTGGCTAGGAGCGGGGCTGCTGTGAGCTCATCACCTCCCCTTCTCCCAGGCCAGCACCCCCACCGACAATTAATGTCAACTCAGGGAAAGGAGGAGCCAGACAGAGGGGGTTTGGAGACAGACTGGAAAAGGCATCAGAGAGGGAGCCGGGCGCAGAGCAGTTCCAGGCTTTTATTAACAATCGGGTGTAAAAACCAGACGGGTCTGGCCGCCCCTCTCAGCTCCCACCTTCCTGGGGCGGGTGCTGGGCAACCCCGTGCTCCCCCCACCTCCACGCCTGGGCTCTGTAGGAGACAAAGCTCCCCTGCCGAGGCTCGGCTCATCCCCTTCAAGCACAGGCATCAAACCCCACCCCATTCACAGGGGCCTCATCCCTATTTGGGGTGCTCCTGCCCCAAGTCCTAATCCTTGGGGGTCAAACTTGCTCAGCCTCTTCTCCTCCAGCCCGCATCTCACCCAGGCCGGCAGAGAGAGAGGCAGGCAGAAGAGGTTTCTCAGTGCAGACAGACTGAGGCAGGAGGCTGGACAGGCCCACTTCTGAGTTCACACACTCCACACAGACCTCAAACTGCATGGGGCCTCTTGCCCTCTGCAGGCCTCAGTTCCTGGGCCTTAAGTGAGCTGGGGAATTGCACAGGGAGGATGTGAATGTGCCTATACACAGTAGGTGATCACGTACACAGTAGGTGCTCAGGTTGGAGTCACAGGTCCTTGCTGAACTCCCTCACCAGCGTGTAGCCCATGCAGCCCCAGCTCCCCTCGGCCTGGTAGCCACAGCCTTCCAGCATCCCTGCCAGGCCCCAAGCTGCCACAGCCACTGGGACCACGAGGCGGGCTCGGGGCTCCCCTATGCCCCCTGCCCAGGTGCGAGTCCGGGACTCCGCAAAGGCCAGCAGCCGCCTGCCCACGCCTTGGCGACGGTGCCAGCGGGAGACAGACAGGCGGGTGACCCGGGCCCCATCCCCAGTGTTGGAGCCCAGAGCCAGGGCCAGGACCCCGCACACGTCCCCTGAGCTGCGCACTGCCACCCAGGGCCCCCCCAGGCCGCCCGGCGGAGGCAGTGAGCCCCACCGGGCCCGCAGGCCCAGCTTCATGGCCAACACGGCCAGGAACACAGGCAGGAGGAGGGCCAGCGCAAAGGAAGCCAGGACAAAGCGCAGGCCGCTGCTGGCTGCCGCCAAGAGGAGCAGGGTGGGCGGCCGCGTCAGGGCGTGGAGGGCTACTCGGTTCTCTGTGTCCTTCACGCCAGCCTGTGGGTAGGAGGGGTTGTCAGAGCTGGGGACCTGGCCTTCCATGACACCAGGGCCCCCATGGGCACCTGGGACTAGAGGGGGGTGGCAGGCCCTGTCCAGGAGGGATTCAGGGTGGGGACTCCCAAAGGCGAGGGAAAGACAATGTCGCAGGGCCTGTGGCAGAGGGATGGGCAGAGCCCGGGCCACCTCTGCTCTAGGCACAGGCAGAGACCAAGGGCACACTGGGCTGCGAGTGAGTGAGAGTGAATTCGGAGCTCTGGAGACACCCAGTTCAGGAGAGGGACAGGCAGGAGGCACCAGGGAAGGCTGAGGCTGGAGGAGGAAGGGGGACTGCCCCCAGGCCAGAAAGTGGGCATGCTATGGACAGCCAGAGAGGAGCTTGGAGGACAGGCCCCGGCCCTGCGACTCTGCTCTGAAGAGTGTGCCGTAGGAGGCAGGGTCCCCCACAGCCCCCCAGTGTGAAAACCTCCCCGGCCTCGAGGGGAGGAAGAGGCACTGGCGGGGAAGGGAAGCTGCCCCTGCAGGCCCGGGGCTGGCGCGGGCTCGGCCCAGGCAGTGGCTGAAGCCGGCCAAGCGGCCCGCCCCGGGCTCTCGGGTGCCCCCAGCAGCCCTCACCTTCAGCATCTCCAGCACCAGGGGCTTCTCATCTTCCCTCATCTCCCGCACCGACAGGTGGCTGGGGGCCATGGCAGGCCCCGCGCCCCCAGGGGAGCAGGCGTGCACCTGGTGAGAACAAGCAGGTCGGCATCAGGGGGGCACTTCTGGTCCCCGAGCTGCCCGCTCCACCCACCGACCTTCCTAACGTCTCCGGGATCCTGCACCCCCACCCCGTGATGTTCAGCGGACCACCCTGAAAGCCGCGTGGACGCCAACACCTGGCACACGGGGCCCCCTCCCAGGTTCCGGGGCTGCCCTGAGGGGGCACCGGCCGCGCCCCCCGCCCCTCTCCCACAGCCGCCGCGGGGCAGGGACCTGCCAACACCCCTCGGGGGCTCCTGATCCTTTGACAAGGTGTAGGGGGGCCGGGTCGTGAGGGGGGGTCGCCGGAGGAAGTGACGTCAGACTCGCGCACGTTGGGGGCGGGGCGGCACCCGCACTTGGCCTTGACAACTGTTGCCAAGCGCGCGGGCGGGGGTGAGCTGGGGAGGGGCTCAGGCTGGGCGCGGAGGCTCGGCGGGGACGTGTAGGGG